CACAAGCAACCCAGACATGCACATTGCAGACACAGGTCATTAAAGTTCATGCAAAAGTCAGTTAGACAAGCAAATTCACAAGGCCATAATTTTTTTGCAGCACCAAGGCTACAACCCTTACCCATTTCTTATCCCACACCAGTGAACAGAGTCCAGGCAACGTTTTACAAGCTGAAAAAAGCTGTAAAACTGTCAGTAATAAAGGATAAGAATAGGCAAAAAGAATACAAAATTTCCACATCCTGGAAACCTTTTTATTAATCTCCAAACCAAGAAAATTCAAATCCTTCCTTGTTTTTGCCATCCCCAAAAGGAACATTCCATTACCTGCCATGTATTATTCGGAGTCAGTAAATAACCAGTAACTGCTATGACTATCTCATGACCAAATCATAAAGGGCATGTTGAAATTATACAACTGTTTCAACTCAACAAGCCTTGTTATTTGTTTATTCCAATCAGAAATTTGTCAGTTGCATCAAATTTAGCTTCTTTTAGAACCTAATCCTTATGTTTCTCTCTCTCTCTCTCTCTCTCTCTCTTTTTAATATCTTGCTTATACATGTAGAAGAACAATAAGGTAACAAACTGAAACCTCAAAGTGGAAAAAGAAATCCATAGGAAGGGAGAAGAAGGTGAAATACAATACCACTTCCAATATCAACTACCAAAGGTTGAGCTGGATCAGAATAGGCATCACTCCAATCAATATCAAATGGGTATGCCTGCACTAGATAGCCACTTTAAGAAGTTTGAAAATATTTTTTTAAATAGTGTTATGAAATGCTGGAAAATATTTACATTTTGAAGTGAATTACATCACTAAGATCTCTGAGCTCCTTTAGATGAGAATGAAGTCAGATTGATGCATCAATCCACATTATGAAAGAAGATATGAATCATACCCTATCTAAGGCCATGACCCCTGGAAGTTTTCTTCCTTTGAGAAACTCCCACACAACTGAAGCATCCTTAATCATAGTGAAATTAAAGGTGGAATTTGATTCCTTCACCATTGCTTCACATGCCTTATTCCCAACAACAGTTATGTTGCAGTTGCTTTGACTTAGTTGATTAAGCATTTGAGCCAGTTTAGAAGCTCCTTTTGTGCAGTTACTCGTACGGAATTTCACTGGACCAATCCAAGTGACTTTCTGCAATTCAAATCAGGGAGGTTTGACAATGAGTTCCACACAAGGCCAACAATAATGCGTACTTGAACACACAAAAGAGAACAGACTGCGATCAAGAAGAGGTCTGACAATGAGTCCACACAAGGCCAGCAATAATGCGTACTTGAACACACAAAAGAGAACAGACTACGATCAAGAAAGAAAACACATATGACATCAAGGTGGAATTTAATCCCAGTGGTTATACCAGACAAAGTGCATCTACACCACTATACTCGCCAAATTTAACTTTGAAACTTTACAATATACCTTAAAAATCTTCACCATTGCTTCACATGCCTTATTCCCAACAACAGTTATGTTGCAGTTGCTTTGACTTAGTTGATTAAGCATTTGAGCCAGTTTAGAAGCTCCTTTTGTGCAGTTACTCGTACGGAATTTCACTGGACCAATCCAAGTGACTTTCTGCAATTCAAATCAGGGAGGTCTGACAATGAGTCCACACAAG